TAGGTTGCTTTCATATCCTAGCTGTTGTAAATAGTGCTGCAATGTTTGTTGTTTCTACTTTTCTTGGGATTAAGAGATGGGAATGAAGATCAAATCTGGAAGGTATGGTGAGACTTGAAAAGACAGGACTGCTAGATCCACAATTACTTCCTCTGGCAAGGATCTTTCCACTCACTGCACCTTTTTAATTTTTTTTAATTTTTTATTATTTTTTTTTTTACTGCACCTTTTTTAGAAATACGTTTCGTCACTTGCCTTTTTCACTCTAAACAAGATTTCCTTGTCTTTAAGAATAATATTCTTACACATAAGTCTTTTGTCCTTTATGAGCCTTTTAGATACACTGCTTAGTCATACTACTGGGTATGAGAGAATGAACATTTCTAAGGCTCTTAATACATGTTTTTTTCCAATAATGCCAAAACTGGATACCATGATAATGAATAAAGCTCCAATCTGATAGACAAGAAATGTCATTATCACTGTAGTATGAACAATTTTTTTCCTGTTCCACCCAGCCACTAGGACACTTAGGTAGTGGCTCTCAAAAACTTCAGTGAAAAAAATTGGAGTGAAACAAAATGAAAAATGTGCAGGGTGAAATTATATAGACAAGATATCCTATAAAACATAATAGCCCACTAGTTTTATGATACAACTATATACCTACGTTGTTAAAATGCTAAAAATCTAGTGCCATCACATGAACACAAAATTCACAGACAAAACAACGGTCAGTATACAAGCAAGTTTTGTGGGGATTACATACACATCTGCTTCTGCAATAAATGTTCCATTTTTGAAGTATACAAAACACAAGCTTTATAATCTATTTTGGAAAACCTATGAGCCAAACTCACATCAAATCAAAACAAGCTGAAGCTAAATTATTTTATAATGAAAAAAAAAACTGGCATCAAGTGGAAACCATAAATTAACAAAGCACAACACTGGTGTTGCACTAGGCTTCCTTGAACTCTGGGTATTCAAACTACACCACGTGCCTGTCTCTGTACTGAGAACACAAATTTCTTAGGATACTGGAGTCCTTAGAAAACTCCTAATAATGTACCAATTTTAATTTACAAATATCAAATTTTAACAAACTTTACTCATGTAGGTTGCTATTGAGGAAAAGGGCAGATATTTTTAGATCTGTGGGCAACTGACCATATTTACAAAATATTCATCCTAGAGACTCACAGTCCTGGCTCTCTGCTCCAGATGACTCGTGGGTGCTTCATCAGTGCTGATGAATAGCCAGTGGAAGGAGGAAGTGACACCATCACCTAGTTCTAAAGCATGGAGGCTCATACAAACATAGCACTTCCATCCTGCATCAATCAAGAAAAGCCCCTTTCCTCCAATAATATGCAACTTTGTAGCATGAGATGAATTCAGTTCTAAATGTTCACTTTAACATAAATTAACACTAAAAAAAGATCTATAGTATGAAGGTTATGTTCAAAGCAATTTGTGGAGGGTCTAACTTATGCATTAAATCTGTATTTTATATATAGTTGTACTAAAGCGCTTTAAGGGGCATAGACAAATGAGAACTAGAATCAGTAGGTATGAGCTACAAGCAGGCAAGTTCAACTTGAAATAAAATTTAACCATCAAAACTCAGTCAGTGGGCTACCAAGTGCAGTAGACAGTCTCCCATCTCTTGAATATTCAAGAAAGGACTGCTCAGTTAGATGGTATTTGTACAAAGGATCCTGCTTTGGGTGAGAGATGTCTTTTCAACTCTAAAATGTGATTCTATGAATCTAAGTACCTATTAGAATGACCTCTGAATCAACTTCAACTTAATTGTTTCCTCAAGGCTATCCCTACTGCAAACTTTATCTTGGCTTTCATTCTCATTTAGCAGTCATATTGGGAGTAACTAATGTCTGAACAGCTAGATAACATGTTTGAAGAGAAATGTCTGGGTGGCATCTTATTTCTCCTTAAGTTACAGTATTTTACTTTCAATCACCACAAAGTATTTTATAACAAGAGTCAAATATGTGATAATACAATTTTCTTTATTAAAAATAATTTACAGCATCAGTAACATATACACAATTGTCATCAACTGAACTTTGCCTCCAATATATTTCTATACAATACTTAACATTACTGAACTTAAAACTGTTATACTGTTTTGTTGGCTTTAAATAATAGACAATGATTTATAGTTGCTTAAGTGAGATACATGGTTTCATAATGACATACTATGTGTAAAACTGATAAACATCGGCACTATCACACCTCAGGGGAAAAGTCACTACCGAAGACTAAGTCCACCTCCTTCCCCTCTCTTTTAGTATTCCAAATAAAACTAAGATAGGGTCAACATCCAGTATCTTAGCACTTCCTCCTAAACCTAAAGGCAAAAGAACGGTGTCTTTTAATTGAACTAAGAAAAATGTTAGTCAAATAATTTCTCCTCATCCTGTCACTTAACACTGAGAAGGTGAATGCACACAACACTGTTTCCCTATGTGTAAACCACTAGAATTTTGATTTAGATCTTAGCTGTGCTTTTTGTCCTTCAGTACCCATGGAGTGTGACTCCCAGTGAAAAGTTGAGCACTTTGCTAAAGGGATCCTAACCACCTCTCATTCAAACGTCAGCCTGGAGATACCACAGAAAATAACAACTGTATCTCGGAAACTTTTTAGGTGTATTAATGGCAGTTCAGTGACTCGAGGACATTTTCATCAATTAGCAAACCCAAAGGCATGAAATATTGCAATGGTATGTAGCATAATGTTTCTTAAAATATGACAAAAATGTTCCGGTTGATAATGACTTTTGAAATTGTACTGTTAAGTTTATAGCGCTAATTTGCTTCTTTCATGGGCCTATCGTATTTCTTCACACAATATTTGTGTATTTTTTTTAAAACACAAAATTATCTAGACATAGTCAATAAAGGAGATATGGAAAAAACAATAAAAACCAACAGGTGCCACATTTTTGCAAACACAATTTGGCTGGAGGAAGAATTACAGGTGCACTCAGGGTCACACATCCATGACTCTCTTCCCCAATTGATAGCCATTGCTTATCAAGCTTTTTGGTTCACTGTATATAAACAAGAGATTTTAAGAGAACCTTGATTTTGTTCCTGAAATACAAGATCTGCTTGTACTTTTACCGGACTAGGTAGACTGGAAATGTAAATGCTTAATTTATAGCTGGCTAGCTTCATCATCTCTTCATTTCCTGGATCTGCTGTTTATGGTGATGCCCAGGCCTCTGACCATAGGCTACAAATTGTATTACAGTACGGCTTACAAATAATACAGATGTCGTCCCCACATACAATCTGGATTATCATTTTCTCAAAAGCCTATAACTGATATTTTAACATTCAACTTGTAAATCCTCCAACCTTAATTCATGTTTTCATGTAAATTAAAAACACATGCACTGACAAATACACAGCATAATAAAATATCAAGAACACAATATGACTTGAAAGTACCAAAGAAACTATTTATAAAAATTTTAAATAAAAGGGAAATCATTTTGCCAAGCTCTAGTCCATCTAATTGTCTAAACACAGAATATTTTCGAAAGATTGTATGACTGATTATGTGCAAAGTTCTCAGTGGTCTTTACCCACTGGTTTGGTAGTTTCAGCATTTTAGCTTAAAACAATTTATTCTGTGCAATGTAAGCTAATTCTGAATTGCAGTAACTTAACTAGGTCATATGATGATCTCTATGTGGGGGGGAAAAGTCACTACAATTAACCTTCTGCCTGCTAACTTCTTAATTTTTTAAAAAAGGTATAGGACTTTCAGAATTAATCATCCAACCTTTTCTTAAAAGTCACGAAACTTCTTGTTAACAGAACATTTGATGTAGTAAACAAACATGCATATAGAGAAAATATGGTATTCAGACAGCAATAATTTAAGTGTTTTATCCTAACGGTCAGCAAAAGCATATATAATTAATAGTATCATGCATCCCAGGTGAAATAATGATTCAAAATGACAGGAAATTGATTTATATAATTAAAAAGAAACCAACATTTAAAAAATGTTTAGGGTTGAGTAACCATATAATTTAGGGTGGAAAATTTAAAAATCTAGAGGAAATCATGTTAGTGTTTAATGATTACGTAAAATTCTCCTTAGCAACTGTAAATGAGTGTGGAATTTTGGCTAATGATACCTAAAATATTAGGTTATAGAAGTTACAGTATCACATAAAAGTGAGCAAAGTAATCTAATCCAATTAATATAATGCCATCTGAGACTTGCCAGGGTCACAGGAGCAAATTACTGAAAAAATAAGGGCTGCATATGTGGTACATATTTTCACTGCTAATACATGGTGCTACACAATCAACTGTATTCTGTAACAGTTCATCTTCAGATGTGGAGGAAAGCTCAGCTGGATTGGACAGAATGCTTGTGTCTGGGGCAAGTTCTATCCTTTGACTGAGACAGGATAACCCTGGCTTATATTACAGACTAAGAATGCCACTATGTCCAGCTCAACTCTGGAAAGGAATGAACATATCTGAAAGTCCATGTATAAATCAGATTTCACCTTCCACAATTTTAGAATTATCTGGCTTAAATTTCAATCTGCTACTCTTAAACCAACAAACAGTAGTATACAGTTTTATAGGTGCAAAACTAAACAAGAGACTTCAGGAAGGTTATTCATATAAGAATCTTCAACACAAGTTCAAATTCTGCTTTTATTTACAAAATGGTCTGATAAAATAGTCCCCCTTACTTATAGGCCTCTTCCACAACACACTTCACACATTGATTTTAGCAATGTTAATAGCACCATTCGTATATTATTTAAAATCGAGATTTCATTTCAGTCACTACGTTGATTCACAATCATTTACATCCATGGATGAGATAAGTGGGCATACTGGGACTATCTGCAGCTCCATGGGAAGGATTCCTGGGTCCAGCACAGAAGGCTTTGTTTGCAGTCACCAGTTATGAAAGGTATCCATGGTGAGTAGATACTATGAGAATTTTCGTGCCACAAAGTTTAATAATCCTCCATGTTTGTACAATGTTGTCTCCACATCATTTTCAAACGAAGCAATCACGCTGAATACTTTTCCAGTGCTTGTCTTTAAACAAACAAAAACATCTCACATGAGCGGTAAAATCTTGTAATGTTACTTAGTGGTTAAGACCATTTGTCTTCATATTCAATGACTATACTTATCACATATTTTGTCTGAGAAACATTTCTCTTGCTTGAGAAACAACTAAGATACCTAATTAAAGGCTTCACAGCTAAGTAGAAAAACAAATATTTTCATCCCTAATTCTAAAGAGCAAGTACTGTTATCACTTAAAAATATTAAATCATTCAGATTTTGACTTACTAGTTAGGGATGTTATACTAATTACTCATGTTCATTTTGTTAAAAATCAAATATTCATTGCATATAATAGCTGCTACTCGTTTTCCTTTTTTCTTAGTTGTAAAGTCTGTGTTACTCTAACCATGAACACAACTCAGGCTTCTAACTAAGTGGTGTACATGCCTGGACTAAAAATTACAGTAGCACAGAGAGCTGTTAATGAGGAAAAGGAAGTTGAAACATGTAACTGGAAGTTCATGTTTTCTTTTTTCTGGACTAAGTATACATGTTCTACTTTTCCTCAGAGACCAACTATATTAACACAGGTTTAAGTACAAACAAAATAAAGCCTTTTTAAATTATAATTTGTTTACTAGCTGACATTAGTATATAATTTACATAAATTATTACTCAGTTTACAACCATCTAGTTAAATATATAGTACTGTACATGATCATATATTTGAGAAATTTAGGTATACCTTTATATTTAATATAACTCCAGGAGACAGTTCTTCAGGAAATGTTAAAGAAAATGTTTCTCTGCCAGAGAGGCCCAAGGAATCTGCACTTTCTCCTGGAAGGAACTGAAGTGGAGCTATGCCAATTCCAATCAAATGATCTTTGTGAATTTTTTCATAACTTTCAGCCAAAACAGCTTTCACACCCTGTAACAAACATGCATTTTATTTCCTTCATTCATCTCTGAAAATTGCTTTACTAGACAATTTTAAAGGGGAAAAAACTCTACTTTTAGCTTTTCTGTAAAAACTTCAAACCCATTACCCCATATAAAGGTCAATGTTATATCAAAGTATTTAAAGAAACCTTTTACAGATTATTTTCCTGTATCTCTAAGTAGCTCCTTAACTCCTTCTAACGGCCCCTCTGCCACTCCAGGATTAAGTACTGCCAGTGACAACTACATACTAAGTGTTCTCTATAACCGGGGGCAGTTGCTTGAAACTCAAAAAGGGCTCAAGAAGATTTCTGTTTAATTATGGTAGATCTAACATATGTGTTTATCAACACTCCCTCTTAAACTGCCACTAAAATAAGGGCATAAAGAAGTATAAGCCCACAGGAACAAAGAGAACAGGATATGCAAATTCTGTAAATATTTAGAAAACAGAGATAGGTGACTGACTTAGCAGAGAATGTTGAAACTACAGACTGACTAACTGAAATTAGAGTGATAGACAATCGAAGATTTGAGTCACTCTGCAACAAAGAACCTAGAAAGGACTTGAGAGGCACAAGGTTCTCAGAATACTGGGATACTAGTGAGAAGTCTATAAAAAGAAGTAAGATCTCCAGCTCAGTCCCCACTCAGAAAGAGTGGAGGCTATTCTTTGGAGAAAATAAGCTGAAGACTTGTATTTCTCTACTTTTTCCCATTATTATCCTCCTAAGGAGCCTTTTTTTTTTTAAAAAGACATTTCCCTTCTAAACACATCTTTCTCCTAATTGCCCACCTCCCAAAATTTAATCTGTTTATGTATATATATATGTCTGTGTACTTTACACATACAAAGAGTAAGATTTTGTTTCACCCCTTGAGAGTGCATCACCCTGCAGAGGAGGGATACTCTCGACTAAGGAGGAACACTAGGCTTGCAGGAAGGCCAGGTGAGAGTATTATCAGACACAGATTAGGATTAAGTCTGTTTCTTCAGTGGGTCTCCTTCCATGAAGAAACTGCACGGCCTCAAGAGAAAATATTTACAGATACTCATATATAGGGCTCTCTCAATGGAAAAGGTAGCTTACTATTAGTAAGGCCGACTAACAAAACCCAGCCCACAATCTGAGCTTGTAATCATTTTTTTAAACATCTAACTGAATAGATAGCCAAGGATCAACAACTATATGAGGAAAGTCTGAAATATTAAAAAAAAAAAGGGGGGGAGGCTAAAAAACTTCAGAAAGAGAACTTATAATTTAATAGTATCTACATTTTAAGGAGGGGGAGGTTAAAGATTAAAAACAAATGACATTTGTATGATTATGATAGCTATGAAGGCTGTATCGTGACCAGCCTTTTTCACAAATACAATTGTAAAGAGAAACACAGTATGATAAGAAATGGCAGAAAGCACATATCACATGACTGTTCTCTCCAGCAGATCCCCTATTTGCTCTTCAACAAAGAAATGGTCTCAAGAGAGATGTCTTTTAGCAGATAGCTAGGGACCATCATCTTCTATTTGAAAACAAAAGTAAATCTTGGCCCACTATCTCTAAGTCTGTTAACCCTTCATGGAGCAAATCAGAGAAAATTAAATGAAAAAGGGGCAAGTAAAACTACCAATGAGTGTAAATAATTATTATTATAAAGCAGTAAATTGAGACAGAATCTCCTTTCCCTCTACTATATTTATTTTCACAAATAATACTGATGTAGTTTTAATCAAATTCAGAGTACTAAAATGCAACTAGGGACTTCCCTGGTGGCTCAGTGGTTAAGAATCCACCTGATAATGCAGGGGACACGGGTTCAATTCTTGGTCTGGGAAGATTCCACATCCCAGGGGGCAACTAAGCCTGTGCACCACAAGTGCTGAGCCTACGCGCTCGAGTCCTCATGCTGCAACTACTTAAGCCCCAGAGTCTGTGCTCTGCAAAAAGAAAAGCTACAGCAACGAGAAGCCCACACACAGCAACTCGAGTACCCCCCATTTGCCACAACTAGCGAAAAACCATGCACAACAACTAAGATCCAGTGCAGCTAAAAATAAATAATAATAAAACACATAAATAAAATCTAAAAAAATTTTTAAAGCAACTAGTACAATGTATGTAAGATCACCTAAAAAAAAAACCTATGAGATCTAAGTAGACATAAAAAGTCTAAATAAACAAAATACACATTGATAGAATGTTACTGACAAAAAGGAATATTTAAAACTCTTTGAACTTAAAGATAAAATTTAAGAAGCAATACCAGCAAGTATGGTCCTTTGGCAGCCCAATCTCTTGAGTTTCCTGAACCATATTTCTTTCCTGCTAAAATAATCAGTGGGATACCTTCTTTCTGGTACAGCTCTGCAGCCTCAAATACATCCAGCTGTAGATTAAAAAAAAACATAAAAATTTTAATACAAATTTTAAACTAGTTAGCAACTGCTTAAACACTCTGTACATCCTTACCGTATGTCCTGATGGAAAATGAATTGTTTTGGGAGCTGGTTTTCCAATAAACTTATTAAAAAGCTTGATATTTGCAAAAGTGCCTCTTGTCATTACAGCATCATTACCTCTTCGGGCTCCATAAGAGTTGAATTCACGAGGGGTAAGGCTGCAAGAAAGTCAGTTTTTATTTCAGGTGGAAAATAATCACATTATTTAACTGTAAAACCACTTTTTTATTATGAAAAATTTCAAGTTTGGACACAAGTAAAGAAAACAGAATGCCTAGGACCCTATTACTAAACTACAGTAATTAGTTCATGGAATCTCTTTGTTTCTTCTATAGTCATCCTCTATTAAGACTGTTTTGAAGAAAACTCAAGATATCACATTTTAACTGGACATGTTTCAGTTTGTTTCTCTGAAAGATATGGACTTAAAAATACTACCTTGATACAAATAAACAAAACCTCCAAACTTCTTAGTATCAGCTAGTCAGTAAATATTCAAATCTCCCTCTTTAGCTGTTGGTTTGCTCAAATCAGATTCAGATGTTTTATAAATTCATTCAGCTTTCTCAAGTCTTTTTTATAATCTGTATGTTCCTTCTCCCTCTTTGTCCCCTAATATACTTTATCTAAAGAAATGAGGTCATTTGTAGTACAGTTTCCTGTATCTAGACTGCACTGACTACATCGCCACACTGTCATTTCATATGTTGTTTTCCCTCCTGTATTTCTTGTTAACCAGATGTCAAATCTAGTGACCTGCTAAGAGTCAGGGTTTTTATTTTTGCAATGATGCTTTATAGGTCTTACTTCCAGGATACCCACTTCTCTTTCTGAAATGCTACCAGAGATTGACCATCATCTTCTAGACTGCATTAGGGAATGCAAACTGATGATGTTGTATTTCTATTATTTCTTCATTTTCTAAGCTGGAAAACCTCTATAAAGACAAACGTTCCTTCATCAATGATTTGGTTATATTGAAATACATTCCATACAGAAAAGCCTTTATTGTTAAATAATGAGATGGTTCCTCATCATCTTCCAAAGGTAACTTGGGTGTTTTTAATTTTTTTCTTCTAGTATCATTATGAACTCATGGATTTAAACATATTCATTATGTTTCAATCCACTCCAATTATTCTTTATTGATGTTCAACATGTCCCATCTTTGAGCAGTGACAGATTTCAAGTTGGGTCCTGAGACCTTTTGACAGAAAGCCTGGTAGTTTCTGACAGTTCTTGCTCTTTCTTGGTTTAAGACACAGAATCATCTTGTACACTTTCCAGTTGCCAAATCTGGAATCAACCATTTCTCCAAGAAGAACTGGTTGCTTGTACTAAGAATTGGTATTTAGACAGCATGATCTGTGTGCTGTGGATGTTCTTTGCTACTGGATTGGTCACTATATAAATGAACTTTTAAGGACAAGAGAAAACTAGGCATAAGCATCTCAACAACCAACAAGCAACGTCGCTCTATCTTTAATTTGCTCTTTTATGCTAAGACAACAACTGTCCTTCTAATTTAAACATCTTACCTCAGGATGTGCATTTAAACACTGGTGATGGGGGGGGGGGTTGAGTGTCTTTATTTGTTTTTTTTTTTTTTTTTCATCTATTTTTATTAGTTGGAGGCTAATTACTTTACAATATTGTAGTGGTTTTGGCCATACATTGACATGAATCAGCCATGGATTTACATGTGTTCTCCATCTCGATCCCCCCTCCCGCCTCCCTTCCCATCCAATCCCTCTGGGTCTTCCCAGTGCACCCGCCCTGAGCACTTGTCTCATGCATCCAACCTGGGCTGGTGATCTGTTTCACACTTAATAGTATACTTGTTTCAATGCTATTTGAGTGTCTTTAAAAATAAAAATTCAAACTGATGACTACTGTATTAACTATGCTAAGAAATCCATATCAGAAATTTAAAAAAATATAAAAATTTTGTATTTGAGAGAAGTAGTGACTTTTTTTGGGGGGTAGGAGGAGATGGAATCTGTATCACAATTATGACCAAGATGGAAATTACAACCTATTAAAAAATATTTGGGCGAAAGAAAACTTTTATTTCTTACCACATAAACAAAAACTGTATGTAAAACAATCTGATTTGTTTTCACTAAATCACACCAGAGTTGCTATTAGCAATTTCTACCAAAAAGTATTTTAATTCACACCAAACTACAATTAACTAGAAATTCAAACACAGATTTCACAACAGGACTAATGAGATTATAATAAGAACTATGCAGTATTACATGTCAAACCAAGCTGTCATATGTAGCACTGATTTTTATAAGATATTTTCAATGAAAACTGTCGTATGCATAGCTCAAGCATCAAAAAGCTAGTCAGGCAGTGGTACCACAAGTTCTACCTTTAGCTAAATTTTATCTCTGGTGTCAAAACAATTCTTTGAAGAGGGAACAACTCTTATGTTATTAACCATGTAGCAATGAAACAAAATCTTTCTAGTTTTGGATTTATATATCCTATGTAAATGATTTTTACATTCACATTTATTATTCTTGTGAAATTTTTCAGCTCAAGAAGATCAAGCCTAGCCTATGCATGTATATCTTAGAGCCCCAAATACACATTTAAACTGTGCAGTCCAACAATGGAAGATGGTTGGAACCACCAGGCTTTATTTGGTAGGTGAAACCAATTAGACTTTTCAACAAAGTAGCACTGAAAAAGAAAAATCTTGTTTCCAATCATTTGTTTACTTGAGGACAAGGGCTCAACTTAAGACAGGAATTTCAATTTTTAAAGTTACAAGCAAAAGCAAGTACAACAGGTATCCCAGTTATTGCTTAGGTCAAATACACTGACAATCAGACACCCATGACAGCATATAATTTGTAAATTCTGGATAAAGGAACATGACCAGTAAAAGTCTCTTAATTAATAAGAAAGATAAAAACAGTCTATAAACATATACACATACCCTCTGTTTGTCAAATACTTAGCAGCAGCACTACTCCTAGCGATGCTTCCAGCAGGTGATATATGATCTGTCGTGATAGAGTCTCCCAGGTATAATAAGACATGGGCATTTTCAATAGGCTGGAGTGCAACTGGCTCTTTGGTCTAAAAGGTAAAAAAATGTTGAAGGTGTTTAGTTCTTCATGAGGTTTTTTTCAACTTCCTAACAATTTTTTAGTGATTAAATAGTAAAGCAGTACTTACAAGCTTATCAAAAAATGAAGGACATCTGATATAAGTAGATTTTAAATCCCATGGAAACAAAACTGAATCTGGTGCTTCTAAAGAATTCCACCGCTTATTTCCCATCTGTGAATATGGTTTTCATTGATAAACCAAAAGAAAGATAAAATGGAGTCAGAAAAAGAAGGCTATGAAAATGATCAAGAAAACTGAAACAGTACTTAAGCTAGCACAAAAAAAAGAAAACAGGCCTCATCCATTTGGAAAGAAAGCCAAGATGGTGCATTCTACAAAATTATGACATCTTTGGTCAGAAAGGATAAAATCTGCTCATCAAATGCCAGCAAACCAGATTTTCAGGAACACCCGAAGAAATAAATTTCAATACAAAGTGAATGTGAAAGACTTCACAGAACTCCAGAAAAGCCAAAGAATTTAGAAAGATCTAAACATGTTGCTAAAGAGATTAAGTGTGTTTTGGGGGTATACTTTCAATCTTTAAGAATATTATCATGGAGAAAAACTTGCTTTTTTCAAAATATTTGTCCTATATCACTGTATTATTAGTCCTGCCTTCAAACTATATTCAAAACTTCACCAATCACCACCTCCATTTGGCACCCCAAATGTTCCATGCTATTACCATTTTATGTTTTGGACTACTACAAACAATAGGTTCTCCTGACTCTATCCTTCTCATCACCCAACCCTCTGGCCCCAAGATATCTTCAATTTCAAGACAGAGCAACCTTTTTTGATTATGACACACCCGTTCCACACTTCCCAATGGCTCCCCGTCTCTCTTCAATCAGAGTAAAAGACTAAATTTTAATAATGGCCTACAATTCCCTATGTAATCTGGACATCATTTCCTATCTCCATCTTTCCTATTTCCTATGTTCCAGTCACTCTGCCTTCACTACGGGTCCCTCCCTGAGGCCTTTTACCATCTACACTGCTCCCTCTCTCTACCTGCTCAGGCCGGTTCTTTGTTTAGATATATGACTAACTTGTTTACCTCTTAAAAACTTTGCTCCAATACCATGTTTTCAACTATCCTATATAAAACTGCAATCTACTCCTGAATTTTACACAATTGGTTCTCTTTACTCTGTTCTTTATTTTTCTACAGCACTGATTACTTTTTAACATACTGTATAATTTACCTAATTATTCTGTCTACAATTTACTATCTGCCTCTTCCCTTCAGAACTTTGTGTTTCCTTCACTGATATATTCCAAATGGCTAGAAGAGTGCCTGGCACATAGTAGGGGCTCAATAAATATTTGTTAACTGACTAAATATCATTTTTGCTCTCATATTTATATTCTTTTTAAAAAGTATGAACACATATATTTGCTTGTAGATGCACAAAACATCTCTGAAACAACGCTTAAGAAACTGACATAAACTTGCTGCCTTTGAGGAGGCAACGTAGATGGCTAAGGAACGGGTGGGAGGGAGATTTCATTGCCTGCTCTTATTTCTTTTGAATTTTAAATCATGTGAATGGGAACAATAAACAATTTCTATGAAGTGTGTCCATGTTCAGGATGCCAAATATAAATGCTTGCTATATATTTCTAGTAAGTAAATAAAATCAATTCTGATACTCTTTAAGTCTCTTAGATTAGACTTCAGATATAAAATGACCATCACTCATTAAAAACTGTGTATTCAAAATAATGTAATTTTAATTTTGATCCTATTCAGAAAGATGCATAAAATAAACACACACTGCCACTTCACTAAACTAAGAAACAAGTGAGTCTTACCTCTATCTTCTCTTTTAATGCTTTAAACATGGATAATACAACATGTTCTTCCTCTATCTGATGAACTTCTTCTCGACTAGGCCAAATATCATGCAGGTAAATGTTCTTGCCAGTAGGGTCAGTACCTGGTTAATAATTTTTAACGTGAAATTCAGTATAAAAAGTAATTACATCAAAATGTTCACATCTTTTCAGACATATAGAAACCAAGTATATTATTCAACAGAGTGCTTCAGGTATAAGTAGCTAAAAAAACTCATCACTTGTATATTTTATATTCTTCATATGAATCAAAAATTAATAATGCATGCACTGTGATAAGATTTCTTGAAATAGTTCCAAGAATGAATGGTCTTGGAAACACTTCAAAAATATAACTTTTGGGGAAAAAAGTATGTGCAGGGTATACATGGATACATACAAAGGAAAACATACCTAAAGGCTCTGTCTGGAAGTCTATATTCACTGTGCCTGCTATGGCATAAGCTACCACTAAGGGTGGAGAGGCAAGATAATTGGCACGAACACAATCACAAAGACGACCTTCAAAATTTTTATTTCCAGATAAAACCCCACAAGTAACCAAATCACCCTAAAAAAAAGGAAACAAAAACCACAAATATTCAAGAGATGGTACAAATCTAGATACTCACATATAAGCAATCGCAAAATATTATACTTCTAAGGGCAAGATAACCAAAAGTATATTTCTAATTATTAGGCACAGAACTATCAAGCCTGTAAATAAACTAGAAGGAATTATTTCAAGGATCTAAAAATGATTTCAAAGAATCATTTTATAATTGATAGGTTACTTTTCTCAAGCGATGCAAGGACTATAGAAATATAAATACATCTATATGTATATGTGATAATAGTGAAATATAGTTAAGGAAAACCATTTGGATATCCTAGTGATCCACATAGTTTACCTGTTTTACTGCATTTAAAACTGCTTCTGATAAGGGTGCTGTATTTCCCACACATGTTGAACATCCATAGCCAATGATTTCAAATCTGCATTTCAAAAAATAAAATGTGATTGGGTAGAAAAATCACAACGTTTTCTGGTAAAGAAAGGACCAGTCTTATCTTTCATTTCCATCACTGTAATAAGATTGTTGAAGAGAATATTAACAACACATGAACCTTCATCAACATGTTCATTTCACACCTCCTGAATAATCAAATCAGACTCTCAGTCATGCTATCTGTACTGAATGCAAACTTCTGAAGAGCTCTGATATTTAGGACTCGCCCTAGTTAGACTTGGTTAATTAAATCTGACACAGAACTTATCACACTACACAAGAAAATTCCTCAAATATTACCTGCTAAGAATATAACATGACCATTCAAAAAATGGATATTATACTTCCCTAAAAAGAGGTTTAACTGTCAAATATCAAGAGAACCTGGCTGCAAAAATTTGATTCAGGGACCCAAAGAAGCACTGTAATTGGGTACTCTGATAGGAGCAATCCTTTAATTCTCAACCAACTAAACCCAAGGAAAAGTCCCTGACAAAAATACCAAGATGATATTAGGCTGGTGCAAAAGTAACTGAGGTTTCAGACTTTGCATTTTAAATCATTACAACGAGGCTTAAACACATCTTTATTAAAATCAAAATAGGAACAATTATACCAACACATTTTTGCCTATGAGAAATAAGTTGGTTCATTCCTGCAGTGTAAAAATCCATGTTTCAGGATTTGACGAACTCTTGGAAAGCATTTTCTGCATCCTGCTGGTTGTGGAAACATTTTCCCTGTTAAAAGTTGTCAAGATGCTTGAAGAAGTGGCAGTCAGTTGGCGAGAAGTCAGGTGAATATGGCTGATGAGGCAAAACTTCACAGCCCTACTGGCTCAACTTTTGAAGCATGTGGCAGGATGTTGTTGTGGAGAACTGGGCCCTTTCTGTTGACCAATGCCAGCTGCACGCGTTGCAGTTTTCAGTATATTTTACTGGTTTGCTGAGCATACTTCTCTGATGTAATGGTTTCACCAAGATACAGCAAAGAGTAGTGGATCAGATGGGCAGCAAACCGCTAGTGACCATGATCTTTTTTTTTCGGTGCAAGTCTGGCTTTGGGAAGTGCTTTGGAGCCTCTTCTTGGTCCAACCACTGAGCTGGGTGTCACTGGCTACTGTATAAAATCCACTTTTTGTCACATGTCATAATCCTATTGAGAAATGGCTTGCTGTGGTGTAGAATAAGAGAAGATGAATTTTTTTGATTTGCAGTCAGCTCATGAGGTACCCACTTGGCCTAGCTTTCTCACCTTTCCAATTTGTTTAAAATGCTGAATGACTGTAGAATGGTCGACGATGATTTTTTTGGGCAACTTCTCGTGTAGCTGTAAAGAGGATCAGCTCCAATGACTTGCACTCAGTTGGTCACTGTCAACTTCCGATGGCCAGCCACTACGTTCCTCATCTTCAAGGCTCTCGTCTCCTTCACAAAACTTCTTGAACCATAACTGCACTGTATGTTCATTAGCACTTACTGGGCCAAATGCACTGTTGATATTGCAAGTTGTCTCCACTGCTCTAAAATCCATTTTGAGTAAGAAAATCGTTTGAATTTGTTTTTTGTCTAACATCATTTCCACAGTCCAAAATAAACAGCAAGTAATAAGTCATTAGAAAAAAAATGAAGAAATGAGCATTAAATGATGTATAATATAACCATCTTTATTTAAGAATGTATTCCAATATTGAATGGCAAATTTCAACAATGCAAAAACTGCAATTACGTTTGCACCAGTAGCTGAAAAACTGTAGGTATAATCCTCAAAATTACTTCCAGCTACTTGAGTGCTGAAAAATTGATTCTTTTGAACTGTGGTGTTGGAGAAGACTCTTGAGAGTCCCTTGGACTGCAAGGAAATCCAACCAGTCCATCCTAAAGGAGATCAGTCCGGGGTATTCATTGGAAGGACTGGTGCTGAAGCTGAAAACTCCAATACTTTGGCCACCTCATGCGAAGAGTTGACTCATTGGAAAAGACCCTGATGCTGGGAGGGATTGGGGGCAGGAGGAGAAGGGGACGACAGAGGATGAGATGGTTGGATGGCATCACCGACTCGATGGACATGAGTTTGAGTCAACTCCGGAAGTTGGTGATGGACAGGGAGGCCTGGCGTGCTGCGATTCATGGGGTTGCAGAGTCGGACACGACTAAGTGACTGAACTGAACTGAACTGACTCTTCTAAACGAAGAAAAAAAACCTAAAACCTATCAGTTTTGCAAAAGAATTGATTTATGTAAGACAATATGTTCCATGATACACAGTGAAAACATTGCTAGCATCAATTATTTTTTTGAAGTGCTTGAGAAATATAGGAAAAGTTATTTTCTCCAGCGTTCAGGGATAACTTAACCTATGCTTAATGGATCAAATAATCTCACAAAACCACAATTAAGACAACTTACTCATTAATAATGCAACCTATAAGATTTCACTCAGTTCTGAAAACTGATCTACATGACTCACAGAAATTATGCAGTACTGTTACCATCCCTTATCCTGTCTGTCACTGTTACTTGTCACCATTGTTACCTGGCTTTTCTTGTCTGTCTAGTGCTTCCATCCTTAAACTAGAGATCACATCTACTTCTTGGTAGCCAACACACTGCCTTGTTGACTAAATACGCTCAGTAAATGACTGCTGAGTGATATGGCCTCAAGGATTTTCGGGCAATGGCAAGGGAACAAGTAGAACCCTAAGTGTTTTTTCCTATCTTCTTTTTGCATATAAAAGGCCCTAACAAGTAGCTTCAATCACTGCTGAATACTAATATTAAAAAGTGGTAACCATCACTTACCCAAGCTTACTAAGATATGGTAATACTCCACTTGAACTGAGGTAATGGGTAACCATTCCACTGCCTGGAGATAAACTTGTTCTTATGTAAGGTTTAACCTGTAGACCAGCTTCAACAGCTTTTTTAGCCAAAAGACCTGCAACAGTAAATAAACAATAATTTATTATGGCAAAGTTTCTCTCCCTCTTTCCCTCATATTAAAGTAGGAAGTAAGAAAGGGTTCATTTTATAGGTAACCTCCAATATAGGTTAGGGTGAAAGTCTGAAATTCATAAAATTACTGTCATTATCCTGTCCACTTATTCTACTGATTTCATTTAAACAAAAGTTGTGGTAGATATACTAGTGCCTTTATGCTATAAATTGTTAAGGTATAGTTGGATATCAAGGCATCATGGACACAAATGGAAGGATATATAATAATATCATGTACACATATAATATATACCATTAAATGAACCATTTTAAATGCTATAATCATAATGAAGAAATGGCAATTTAACATTTATTATACTTGATTTTATAAAATTAGTGAACTGTTCTATGCACATAGTTGATTTGATTCCTTGATATGTCAAGGAATATAACCTTGACAATAATCTTTTACTTCCTTTATACCTCAGTGGGATCTAGCACACTGCTATGGTAAATGTCTAGTAGATTATCAAGAGATTTGATAAAAAAGCAGATACAACCTAAAACTCAGATACGTAAGTTACAATTTTGAAAATTTACCATCTTTGTAACAAAAATAAAATTAATAACATAAATCAGTCTCAGGCTCCTTTAGACCTAATTAAAACCTCAGAAAGGCTCTCAAAATCAAGCATAGAGGACTTCCCTGGTGGTCCAGTGGTTAAGAATCCAGCTGCCAATGCAGAAGACACGGGGCTGATCCCTGGTCCTGGAAGATACCACATGCTGCAGGGCAACTAAGCCTGTACACCACAACTACTCAGCCTGCACGCTAGAGACCATGCTCCACAAGAGAAGCCACCGCAATGAGAAGCCTGAGCACTGCAACTAGAGTAGCTCCTGCTCACTGCAACTAGAGAAAGTCTACATGCAGCAGTGAAGACCCAGCACAGCCAAAAAATAGATAAAAATTCTAAAAAAAAGAAAAGCATCTTCAAGAAAACAAAATCAAGACACCTATACTTATGTATAATCTACAAAACAGAATGTGAACGAAACAGAAAACTGTATGGATATATACCACAACCTACCTGCAGCAAGCATGACAGATGGATTGCAATTATTGGTACAACTGATAACGGCGGCAATGACCACAGATCCATGAGACAGCTTATATTCACTTCCTTCATAATGAATAGAGACGATATCATTTTGCTTTTCAGCTGCAATTTGGAAGCCTTTAAATCCAACCTACACAAATTTGCACATAAATATAAACTAAATATTCTTGATATGTATAGAAAAAAAAGGGGTAGAAAATACAGCAGATCCTTGCCATCTGATAAGTTTCGACTATTTGGGAGTGATGCTGAAGGTCCATGACTTTCAGTAGTTATAATCCAGTTGAAGCATTAATTTGAATAATCATGACAGGAGTCTGGTGGTATTCCTAAGCTTTTATCTACTGAGTAAGTCCAGCCAACTACTCAGGGCCCAGATTTTATTTGGCTTTGCTGTTCTTTATTCATTCCTAATTAACAGGAATTCTCAAAAGATGGTAAACATTTTTTCTTTGTTGAAAATGGCCTTGAAGATTTGCTTCAAAAGATCCTGATGTCTACAGGTGTGTAGAACAGATGAGGCAAGATAGTAGTTGTTTAAGGGAGGTACATGGGAATTCATTACACTATTTTATTCCTGTAAAGTTGAATATTTTCCACAAGGAAGAAAATCAAGAAATTACAAGAGGCTCTGAAAATAAAACCAACTATTAGTTCTCAGAATAGAGAAAGTGACAAGATTAAAGCCGTGATTCTTAAGACAGAAAGTACAAACCCCAAAAGTCAGAGGTCACCTGGTATTCAGTTATTTTACTAGACTTAAGACAGTCATCACAACAAAATAGTAGTTCCTTCCTAGTCTGGGAAATCACAGAAAGTCTAGAGCACTGCTGCCAGATGGAACTTTCTGTGATGATATACTCAATTGTTATTTGAATGTCCTATACAAAAGCCATAGCTACATGAAGCTATTCAACTTAACAAGAAGCTATAGTGACTAAGAAACTCAGTTTTTAATTAATTGCAATTTTTATTTAAATATACCCAATCAACCTCTGGTCCTAAAGTGAAATCTGGGAACAACCTCATGAGATGTCTGACTTACATTTTGGACAGAGGAAGAGTGAGCTGCTAGTGTGTGCCATAATATATAAAAATATAGCAGTAGATTGAGTTCATAGATCATCCTGCTAATTCCTGACTACTTAGCACAAAGTGTACTACAAATAAGGTAATCTACCTTTTCATTTAAGCAAGCTTGGAAATCACTTTTCATATCTGTCAAAGCAACTCTATCCTGAGGTCTCTTTGGACCACTGACAGATGGAACTATTGAATTCAGATTAATCTGGATCACCTAGGAAATAAGAGAGAAGGAGAAAAGGAATTAGAATTCATAAGTACAGATTCCAACTTGAGTACTGCTTTCTGAAGCAGAACAAGTATATTCATATTTGTTTTAATGTAATCTGTTTTAATGATGACATACACTCCCAAGAAATAAATACATTAAAACCTAACTTATGAAATATATAAAAATTTGCTAAAAGACTAGTAGACCAGTATGCAAACTACTGCAACACCAACTGTATGGTCTACATAAAAATTTTGTTTCTCAAATGTTTTTCCCCCCACAAAGATAACACTGTCTTCACAGATGCCTTATGATACAGTAGATGCTTGCACCAGCTGTCACTTTATTGTTTCTGATCCCCAAATTCATCCTTTGCCTATTCTGTGATAACATGGGTAGCCTTGGTAGACATTTTTCTGTTCTCAGCTTGCATGATGTTAACTCTGGTCTACAGAGGGTGCTGGAGGGATAGTAGAAAAAGGGGTTTGCTAATCCTGGTTCTAGTGTGTCTAGCTAGCCAGGCCCCTGCAGACCATGTTTTTATTCCTTGGTTTTTTAAAAAAAGAGTCATATTTTATAAAAATCCCACCTCCCAGCTAGGTTTCTGTTTAATATCTTCCAGTATTTCTACCATTTTCCAACATACATTTCATTTGGTATAATAAATACAAATTAAGTTTCTCTTCACTATGGCTTTCATCATTATTTAATAGCCCTGTTTATTCTGGTTCATCACAACTGAAACATCTGCTTTTTTTACACCTTTGTTTCACGGAACCAGGTGATCCTAATCTGTGTTTTTAGTATGTGAATTTCTCTTGAAATGAACATCCTGATGAATTTTAATTCTATTTCTTATAATATGGTCAAGTTTTTTAATAGGCAAATTTATCCCATTTCACTATACCACCAAAAATTTTCCTTTAATTATGTCTCTTTAAAAAAAATGTGGACAAAGCACTAGAGTCAATAAACAGGGCAGAAAGGGACCAGAAAATAATCAAAGAAGTTCAAAGATTTACCCAACTGTCCCACAAATTCAATTCTGATGGGGTCTATCCAGCATTCAATATACCTATATTATGTGACTATATATATACTATTATTATATATATATATATATATATAGTCACATATATAATATATAATATAAATATATATAAAATATATTATATATTATATATATATATAGTCACATAATATATATAGGTATATTGAATGCTGGATAGAAAAATTTATTTATTAAGAAAAAACAAGCTAAGTGAGACAATGGATTTCCCAACAAAAAAGAGCTTAATAGTTAACCATACCAATTATAACACCAAGCTGATTTAGATCCCTGACACACTTTTAGAAAGTGAATTTTATTAAAACTTTCCTGCAAGTAAATTCTACCTACCTCAATAGAAATTTCCAACAGAGAATCATTTGCTTAGACTATAAAGATATCTTTAACATTAAAGGCCATATAACTATCTTCTTAGACAGTTAATAATAGTTATCATTTATTGAGTACTTACTATGTTCTTAAAACTGTTATAATGAATTTGCATTTAACCTCTTAAAAATCCTATGAGATAGATACTATCTTCATATTTCAGAGATGAGGAAACTTGAGGCAAACAAGCTAAAGAAAGTACCCAGGGTCGCATAGCTGGTAAGTCTTAAAAGCTGGGATTCAAACCCAGGAGGACAGGCTCTAGAATTTACAGTCTTAACTACTATTAGGTGGGTTATTTTGTAGATACCTGGGAATATTCAGGTTCTCCTGAATTATCTTGCTCATTTCGAAACAATTTCACAGCTTTAAGGTATGCTTCCATTGACTCGAGTTTGGCTTTGTCAAAACCTAAAAAGACGATTAAAACAACAAAAATCCTGTCAAGAATTTCTGAATCTTTGGGAATAAGGATGTTGAATTTCAATGATGACTAAGAAACAAATGTTACTTATAACTAAGCACTGAGAAAAGATTTCTTTACAAATTGATAATATTACAATATTGACAATATTACAAATTGATAATAACAATAGCAAAAATTTTACTCTTCATGAAAACTCTACTTTATAAAATACATATCAGAAGCCCCTTTTAAAAGTTACTCAATCACTTTGGTGATCCAGTAGCTAAAACTCCATGCTCCCAATGCAGGGGGCCCAGGTTTGATCCCTGGTCAGGGAACTAGATCCTGCACACTGCAACTCAAGATCCTGCATGCTGTAACTAAAATCCCCCACAGCCAAAAAAATAAGTATTTTTTAAAAAGAGCTATTCACCACAGAAGATAAAAAATACTGCGCCAGTTATATAATACTCACAAAAACACTGTTTGCAAGAGAAAACCCAGTAATGAAATTGAACATAATAAATTACTATCCACCATGAAAGATAAAATTCATTACTTTCCCTAAACAACAAACAACATTAGTGTACTAGTCAAAATGAAAGAATATAGTAAATGAAAGAATAGTTTTAGAGAGCAGAGAGATTTAACAAGATCTTCCAAAAATTAAAATAAATTAGATGTTAAAAATAAAAGCTTCTAATTGAACATTTTGGTAGTTATCCATAAGCCTGATGAAAAGTAACTGTGGTAGATTATATCTGCCAATTATTGCCACAACAATTTATATCCCAAGATATATGTTCTCTTACAATGTGACAGAGGCAGAAAATATGTTCATTCCCTAAATGCAGGCAATGTGACTTCTAGCTGGCTAAGGCACCCTCTTCCTCCCTCCCAACCCTCCTCGCTCAGGTTACTAACCCTTGAAAAGCCACCATGTGATAAAGCCCAGATTACATGCAGAAACCACATGTGGATGTTCTGGCTGACAGTCCCGGCCAAGTTCCCAGCTGACGGCTAGCATTCACTGCCAGACATGCAAGTGATCAAGCCTTCAGGATTCCTGGCCCTGGTTTTTTAAGTCTTACAGCTGAGGCTCCAGACATCATGAAGCAGAGACAAGCCATCCTGGCCGTGCCCTGTCTGAATTACTAACCCACTGAAACTATGCAGCAATAAATGATTATTGCTGTTTTAAGCCACTAGTTTTAGGACAATTTGTTACTCAGTGATAGTTATTACTACATTAACTCATATTAATGTGAAGAATGAGGCATTTCTCTCTTGAACCATTCTACAACCCAAAGAACAGTTTAGAGAAAACTCTGCATTCTATGAGGACCACTCCCTCCAAGGTTTCAAATGACCAGTCATCCATTTTGCCATTTGATTCAATCTGCCCCCAAACTGAATACTGGAACATATCTCCCCAATATACTTATGAGTAGAGATTAGTATCAACAGTTTAGTAATGACTTCTTAAAAATAAACAGACTAACTTTTAAAGAACAGAAGTCTTATAAAACCAACACATTCTTGTTTTGTACGTATTTTCTATATTAAATGGTCAACAGAGGAGGTGAAAGTTCCCAGTCAATTAGGCTACAGTTAGAATTTGGAACCTGTAAGCATATGCTGTTTTTCACAAAATTAAGTGCTGCTTATTCTTTAGAGAGAGCACTGGTTCTCAAATAATCTTGTCTTGTGACTCCTCTCTTCCTGGATGTAGAAGACAGCACGGTGAAGGTGGGAAAGCATGACTTCCATTAAACTGCAACGTCTGGTCACTAACAGGGTGGAGGTATCCATTATTATGTGGAAAAAGTGAAGCAAAGAGCAGCAGTTTGAATAATTTCTCTAAATTGTTGTAATGACTCTAGTCACAGTGGACTAGAGTTTGAGGACGCAACACTCTTTAAGCACAACTGGCGCAGTTTATTTCAAACTTGCTATTTCAAAATAAGATCGTATCATGAACATTAAATAACATGTACAAGGTAGTAATTTATTGTAAAATATTTCCTAGTGATCTTACATCTTACCTGTATGTTCTAAATGTTTTAACGTCACATTGTCAACAGGGAAAAAGCTGAGGGTAGCACCATATTCTGGACACATGTTTGCTATTGTAGTTCGATCTACTATAGATAATTGTGAAACTCCACTTCCAAAAAACTCAACAAACTTTCCAGCCACTCCTACTTGCCTGAGATGCTATATAAAGAGATAGATAGAAACACATACAAAATTAGCATGGATTCTCTGAAAACCATAAAATCTAATTTTTAACCCATTACTAGTGACAGTTAAGGAAAGAGGTCCTCTGTTATTTTTGTGAAACATCAACTCACTCTGGTTTTCCAGCTAAAGGCAAATAGTCAATAGAAGAATGGTCCAAAGTTACTAGTAGGATTAAAAAAAAGCGCTTGAAAATTCAAAATGTCTCTGAAATCAGGGTATACCATAGACTCTACTATGTATCTGCTAACTGGCAGTCTTCTTTTCTTTCTTAGCAGCACATAAAACAACAGTTCTTCTAGCCAATGAAGGCATCTTAGATTTAGTGAAATATTAATATACTGATGAAACTGTGTATTTAAATTTTAAAAATTAGATACTGCTATAAAGATTCTTCAAATTCCAAATACTGGTCCAAGTATTTACAGCATCATTAATTATAGGTAAATTTCATTTTGATAGAATTTAACATGTGGCTTCAAACTTAATTCCTTCTAAAATTATTTTTCTTATTACTAAGTAACCAAAACAGCTACCCACCTTTTCTGAATTGTAAAATGGTTGCATAATGGTATAGGGAGTGTGCCCAGGACAATGACTAAGTATGAAACAACATTCAATCTATGAATAATATCAAGTTCTAACATTTTAGAAGTGCTAAGGATCATTTAATCCTAACTTTTTTATGGATGCAGAAACTCAACCCTAAAAGAAAGATGTTTATTTTCACTGTTTTATTTTTGATGATAAGAGCAACACAGATTAGAAATACAAAGTCAAATGCTGCTTTCACCAAATTAATGAGGTACCACAATATACATTTTGAAAAACAATGATCAATTCTATAAAGATATGACTAGAACAGGACCTCAAAAAAGGGACATAACACTCAAAAAGGTATGCACACATATAGATTTAACTTTCATTATCAATAAGCAAAAACGTCTAAAGTAAATGTATACCACTGTTAAGAAAAAATATAGCCAGAGGAATCTAAAAAGCAACATTACTTCTCAGGATATGAAAAGGAAAAGAATTGATTTTTCTAAAAACATAATGGGCTATTCCTTTCCTTTAGGAATAATCCTTCAATTCTCAATTTAACTTCTCGATCTTTTGTTACCATACACTGAATCAATCATTTCTGCAAGATGTCAATTTTTTTTCTAATTAGGGAAGAAGGATCAATATTAAATGGTGAGAAGAAGGCAATACCATTTTCTTTCCCTGCGGAGTATTCTAAAAGCCTTCAGCCCAGAAATCTAACCAAAAATGCTGAGACTCTGGGATCCAAATATGAATTCTATTTGAAACATTTGCCAGGTTCCCTCATTTAATGAAATGGGACTCAATCATAACCATAAAGTTAATGAAAATGAAATTGGGGTGGAGAGTTACAAATTATTGTCTTTAGGAAACCCTAGATTACATGCATTAAATGCATGCAGCCAACATTTTTAAAGTTCAGAGAAAAAGTTTCTATATTTTAGTTTCTTTTTATATTGAAACAGTCGATTTATAATGTGTTAGTTTCAGGTGTACGGAAAAGTGACTTTATAAAAATGTTAAAACAGTCAATAGAAAAATTTGACACTATCACACTTTTACCCATAGTTTTTAGTACCAGCTAATACAGTAATAGTTTCCAGAAGACAAATGATTCAATTAAATATTAAAGGAGATGCAATTAGACATTTCCCAAGGGTGATTTTTTAAAATTCAGGTAGGCAACAAGTATTTACTGAGGCTGTAAGGCATAATGGTTAAGAGCATGGACTGAAGAACCTGACTGCCTGGATTAGAATTCTTGTTCTATACTTAATATTCAACCCTACAACCCTCTGGTTAAGTCACGAAAACTTACTGTGTCTCAGAATTAAAATGAGGCTAGTAACAGTGCCAATCTCATAGGCTTGTAACGAAGAATAAATGAGTTAACACTTCAAGCGAACAATGACATAACAAACTGCTTTGTACTTACCAGTATAAAGTAGTACTATGATGACAACTACGATGACAAAGCTAATAACAACACCAGAGTGCTGAGAATGAGGTGATAAACTGAAATACCTGCTTCATGGGGCTCTTCTACTTACAAAACAAAATCAGGTCCACGGAGTTATACAGCTAGTAAAATTTTAGCTTACCTTTGTAATGCCAAGAACAACATCTATGGATGTAACAAAAGGATTCGATGAACCAGTTAATTCACATCCAACCACCTCTGGTAAAGTAAGGGAAACTGGCAGGCCAAGCATAACTGCTTCTGTTTCAATGCCTCCAACCCCTAATGTAATAAACACAGGTATATGAGTATGGCGCATTTAAAGTTATCTTTTCAATATCTAAATCTCTAGTGTCTCACAAGTTTGTCTTAACACAGTACTTTACACAGAATCGCTATAATGCTAGCATTGTAGATATGAAACTCAAGTCCTCTCAAAAGAATGACCTCACTCACAAGATTAAAAAAATTGTACTTTTATCATTATTTTAAATTCAGAAAACACTTAGTATCTACAATGCTAGGTACTGTACTATGCTCAAGATACAGATATGAATAGAACCCAGTCCCCGTCAACCTCAAGACACAAAGTCAACAATTTAAAAACCCTGTAAAAGAGTAACTGCGCTCTGACAGAGGGGACAGCTGGCACAAAGCCATGAGGTGTGAGAGCACAGCCTACTCAGGGAAGTCAACAAGCCTTTAAGATGTGTTTGGGTAAATGGCTAGGGGCACCATGTTGCCAGGACCCTATAAAAAACGTGGAGAAATTTGGATTTATAAATAAGGCCAGAAAAAGCCACTTGAAGGACTTTAAACAAAGGAGTAACCACACTGCCTTCACAGACATCATCATCATTAGAAAAGTGGAAGTGTTTGTCACTCAGTCCTGTCCAGCTCTTTGCAGCCCCTTGGACTGTAGCCCACGAGGCTCCTTTGGCCATGGAATTCTCTAGGCAAGGATACTGGAGTGGGTTGCCATTCCTTTCTCCAGGGGATCTTACCAACCATCATCACTAATCACTCCACAAATGGTAGTGCTGTGCTGGTCACAGTGCACATTTCTTTTCATAAATTCTCTCTTACGCCACACTGTCCACAAACACTTGAATTTAATTTTTGTTGTTAACTGTTATACGTGAAATAGGCTATAAAGACCCTGCTATTTATGTTCTTTTATAATGGTCCTGACATCCTCTCTCAAAAGAATTAAATGTACTTAGTCATTTACTTACCCCACCCCAGAATCCCCAAACCATTCACCATGGTTATATGAGAATCTGTGCCAACAACACTGTCTGGGAAGAGGAGGTCCTTCTCTTCAAAAACCACTCTCGACAAATACTCTAAGTTTACTTGATGAGCCATTCCGGTTCCAGGAGGGATTACAGCCACATTCTTAAAAACTCTTGAACTCCACTATATTTTATTCAAATTTAAGAAATCAACTGTTAGCATATATCTGAATTCGGTTCACAATTAACATATAAATATTGATATGGAAAATATTTTACCAATTTCATTATGGTCAAAGTTTACAATACATAAAAGCAAATATGCAGATACTAAACCTACATGATATTCATTTTGCAGATTATTCAAACAAAGTCAAAGAATAATGTTCTAACAGTCCAGATAAACAGTAGCTTTCAACTATGTTTCAAGGATTCTCAGGGATAGAAAAAGGGAAAGGCTCAAGTAGAAGACTCTGCAGGCTCACCTGAACTAGAGCCACTGTTTTTAATATTTTATTATATACTAGGGTTTCTGATTAAGACTTTATTTGAAGGAAAAAAGTAAAAAAGGGTTCTACTGATAATATTTAAAAATTTCTGGTCTAAAGATATAAAAAATTGTACCTTTCAATATTTTATAAACTTCTATTAAAAAATTTCCCCCAAATCATTTATACCTTGAAAAATTGAAGCCTCTCTCGATTTCTGCCAAATTCTACTTCTTGATTTTTTAATACTGTTTCAGGTCTAAACAGAAGAAAAAACTGGCATTAAATGTATGTATTATAGAAAAGAGTTGTCTTTGTTTCTAAGTCTTCATTCTTATGTACTTACATAAAAACACGTTTTTAAAATTCTAGGAATAGTATTTACTAGACTTTTCAGAATCATTATTTTCAACAATGAAGTTCTGCTTTAAATAAGATCAGAAACCTATTGCAAGGACTTAATATTTAAGCCACGTCCACACCAGTGTCCCAAACTGTACTTCATATGCATCGCTGTGTTTGATTAAAATATTAAAAGTAACATGGTAAGCTTTGTTGGATTTTCTAGTGCAAGGAAAAAGGAGAGTAGTTACTTTAATGAATATACAATAAGCACATATGTTTCCACCCACTTGACGCTTATGCCACTTTAACTAGGAGATGATTGTCGATTATCACTATGCAGTAGTGACAAACAACATCATTTTATAAGCTTAAGAAGAGTTTTGGGCAAAAATCTTGTATCCATCCCATCCCAAATGAAAGGTTCGACTTTACGTAAAGTTGCAGTTTAGTTTACATGGATTATATTTTATATAAATTATATAAACTAAGATATAAAAACAATTCACTGCCAAGCAGTAAACATACTGCTATTTTTAGGAAGCTATTTTTATCTAATGGATATTAAAAAAAAAAAGATTTCTAACAGCTTTAAGTTGTTTAGTTCATCTGCCAGCTGGTGATTTAAGTGTTGACTAGAATATCAATATAACCTAAATTATACATGTCCTCCAGGGTCCAGATAATTATAGTTGTTTAATTGTCAACTTTTTTAAAAACAAAGATTAATAATTCATTGCTGAGTGATCATCTGAAGCCACAGCACATCTTAATGAGATTTTTCTTAGGACCTCAGGGAACAAAGCTTTCTAGAGCCACTCCAATTATTTTACCTTTCCACAGTACATGAAAGCTACAAAGTACCATACAAACATTTATTAGCTCATAACCTGACTCCAAATTAAGCAGTGATTTCAAGTGCCAGATGTATGCTCTGAACTCTCTACCCCTCCATTTTTTGTCTATAATTAATACTTCATTGCATTAAAGCACGTGCAAAGAGTTACTATTTTCATACAGCCAGAGACAATATCCAGTCAATATTTTGCAATTTAGAGTCAAAATTAAACAGAAATGTTATACCAGATTGGATTTTTAGAAATAAAAACATACCACCTTAGGACTTCATACCATTTATAAAAAGATAACCACGAAAAATCAGTGATTTTTTGAATCAATACATTTTCCTTTTCAGAAAATTAATTTCTAAATAAGAGACATCAATCTCAAAAGTTCAACAGTCCCTAAAAACCAGGACAATTAGGTAAGAGGAATAGAGTACTTACATAGAACTGACATAGCAAAGGACCCATAGAATATACTCAATTCTTAGGAAGAGACCTGAGGTCACTTATAACATAACCAAGGTTTTATAACAATACTGAGCACAAAACAGAGACCAACCTAGAACTTGAAAGAGCTAGTTTAGGGACAAGTGACTTAAATGTTACTATTTGGCACTTATGATGAAATATGTGTTCATAATATCCTTAACCTACACATTAAATTTGCTAAATTTTTTAAACCTGAAAAAGTCTAAGTTATTTTTAACTAACCTTTAAAAGATCTGACAGTATAACAACAATGGGACAAACATAACTCTCTTTAAGACTCTGGAAACTTTATAGTATATGAAAACACATCACAGAGCTTTTATTACTTTGAAAAAATTACATAGTAGGAAATTTAACCAACTCTTAAGGATAGGATTCTTTTCCAGGCTGGTTTACTACTTTCCACGGTACAATTTAGGAAACTGCTCATCTAAAACAGCTCATTAAGTCTGTGACATGTGATAATGATAATATTCTTAACACAGAGGTCTCAATGCAATAAGAAAGAATAAGAAATCTCCTAGAAGAAAAATAAAGCTAAAAATATAAGTAGGGATTTCTACAAAAGAAATGTGAATGAACAACGAGCATGTGAATGAATGGTATAAATTCACTAAAATAAAAAACTCAGCTTAAGATATTTCTCTGCCTACATTAGTTATAAAATTAAATATATTTTTAGAAAATTCTTAAAGTTTTCTTCTGAAGAAACAAAGATTACGGTATTTGGAGACTACAATTTTAATTATCTTTGCTTCTTTCAGTACAACAGGAAGCAAAATAAATATGAAGGCAATGTAAATGAAATGAGGAGGAGAAGGAAAACTGAAAAATAACTCGGCACTAACAAATATTTTAAAAAACATCTCATACTCAGGCACTGGTTGCAAATGAAAAGGACACAGGATGGGTGTGTTTTCAATCTGCGAAGAAAATTTTCCTGAGTTTCGGCCTAGTTCTCCAGAATCACACGATCCTCGGCAGGCAGCCTGGCCTCTGCAGGGAAGCTTCTTAGGCTGCACTCTAAGTGGAGAGAGCTTTCCTGCTTTCTGTAGGTCACCACCTCCAGGATTTGGAGCATTCTGTATTGCACTATTATTCCAAAAAAAAGAGACAAAATAAAACCATTTAAAAGCGAAAGAAATTTAGCTCTTCAAAAAGCATACACCAGCAATGCTATCTGGAAGTAACAACTGAATGTTATTCAAAGGTTAAAGTACCATTTAAATCAGGTTTCAAAAGCAAATCTCAGATTACAAAAAGGAGGGGAGGTAATTTATGATGATTAAAAAATAATTCTAAGTGCCCATTAAAATCATTTTCCTACAATAACTTTTGGCAAGTAGCGAAATTGATCTTTTCCCCCATCTAACAACTTAAAAGAAGCTCAGAGCCAGAGTTTAACCTATAGCAAAGTTTTAATAAATTGTCTTATTCCATTACTCCAGGGAAACTAAATAAACTGGTGCATGAAAACATAATCATGTCTTCTCTAGTTTGACTTTGATCAAAAGGATCATTTAAATATAAGAAAATTTATTTCAGTGGAAGGAAAATACAACTGTAGTAAGCTCAGTGTTTTCCAATCACCAATTTAATATAATTAAAGACATCCATGGCTCATATCTTTAGAGTCTCTCTGGAAGGGAAATTAAAAATCAAAAAGGAAATGAAGGCTTTATTCAGACACCCACTCTGAAAAGCAGGTTCCAGGCTTATATATTTCTATAAAAATGGCAGCAAAATATACAAAGAGCAAAATCACTTTAAACTCAGACTTAGTTAAACATAAATTTCACTGATACATCAATTTTCACCAGTTTTTCTTTTTGTATATTAGTCAGTAATAAATGTTGCAAACTTTACTCTGGCACAAATTATCTCTTTTCCCTTTCTTATATACCATATACTCCTAGTGGACTGGCTGGCAGTCAATTTGCATGTCTGTTTTTATAAATATGCATATTGAAGTACCATTTGTTGAAGTCAATTTGCAAGGAATGGTCAACCGTGAGATCTGTTGGACAGGCAGGATGGACTTTCTTAGGGTCACCTCCAAGAGTTTTCACTGCCTCCCTCATAGCAGCAAAATCCACCATTGCCGGTATTCCACTAAAAAATAAAGAACAATTAACTTCTAAACCTTCTTTTATATATACTCAAGTATAACCAATATGCATTTATTCATTTTTAAATTTAAAAAGTATCCTTTTAGTTTGCATTCATGTTTGATAATGTATCCAAAGTTATATGTAGCCTAGTTTAATGAGAATATTAAATACTATCTGAAAACTTGAGTGCTAAAAGGTAATGTGCCAAAGATAATACAACAGATGATTCTTAGAGGCATAAGGGAACTTCAAGGAAACTGCTGGTGGAGTCCTTTTTCTTGTCTTGAATTTTAAGATACCCCACCCCTTTTCCCCAACTCCAGCCCCTTCACTCCCAGTGCCTTGTCTCCAAAGTTATTCACTAAACATAGGAATCTACAGATAGATCTGTATCTGCATACATATCTCCAGCCAACTATGTAACAAGCATTTACCAAATGACTTCGAGGTGCTAGACACCAATGGTACAAGGCTAAATAAATAAGGGAGAATAACTGTTCTCAAGGAATTTGTAGGAAAGATGCACTAGCAATTACAGAGGAGTACCGTAAGTACTAGAGTAGCAGCATACACAGAGAAGTGGCATACTTACCAGATATCGGTGAGTGGGTAAAGAAAATGTTCTTATTTGTCTAGCTAACTCCTACACCTCTTTCAAAACTCAGCTAATGGTTAAGTCTTCCAATAAATAATCCTTGGACACCTAAACTAGGCAAAGTCTTTCAAGCTATGGTAAAGACTTCAGACTTTATTCTAAGTGTGATGGAAGCCAAATGGAAAATGAAGGAATGATATGACCTTTATCAACATTTTTTAGCCAAGTCACTTCATCTACTGCGAAAAGATAAAACTATCCATTCCAAGTGCAGAAGCAGGGATACCTGTTCAGAGACTATTATAGTCATAGTCCAGGTAAGTGAGAATGGGGTTAGAATCAGAACAACGGAGGTGGAGATGGTAAAAAGCATTTGGATTCAGGATGTGTACTTCAAAGGCAGAGCTCGCAGAACCTGCTGATAGACTGGATTATGTATGAAGGAAAGAGAGGAAGCAAGGTTAACTTCTAGATTTTTGCTCTAAATAGCATCATTTACTATGATAGAAAAAACCTGAAAAGGAGTAAATGAGAGGGCTGGGCAATGACATTTAGGATATATTAAGTCTGAGCATCCTATTGGGATGACAAGTAGGCAGTTAGGTAGAAGTAGTTTTTAAAATAAATGGCTACAGGAAAACAAGCATTTAATTTTTTTAAAAAAACTTTTTATTTAGCATTGAATAGAACCAATTCGCAATGGAGTGAACAGTGAAGGGATATATACATATGTGTGTGTGTGTGTGTGTGTGTGTGTGTGTGTATCCATTCTACCCCAAATTTCCCTCATTCAGGTTACACATAACACTGGGCAGAGTTCCATGTGCTATACAGTAGGTCCTTACTGATTATGCATCTCAAATATGGCAGTGTGCACCTGTCCATCCCAAACTCACTATCTCTTCCCCTTAGCAACTGTAAGTTTGTTCTCTAAGTCTGTTGAGTCTGCTTCTAAGTTCATTTGTATCCTTTCTTTTTAGAGTCCACTTATAAGGGATGTCATGGTATTTCTCCTGCTCTGTCTGACTTACTTCACAAGTAAGACAAATTGCTTTAGTTTAGAAAAGGGAAATTTTAAAATTTATAAACTAATCTTCCCAATTAAGAGACATCTGGGAGTATGATTCTAGAAAGAAAACAGTGAAAATTCATCATGAAAAATAATCCTACTACTCACGTAAAATCTTGAAGAAGAACACGGGCAGGGAAAAAGGGCACTTCAACATTGCTTTGTTTGGTTTTCCAGTCTAAAATGTTCATAACATCTTCCTTTTTCATTAAAAAGCCATCACAATTTCGCACAGCAGCTTCCAACAGGACCCGTATTGAGTAAGGCAGAACATCTGATTCAAGAGAAAATATTACTATTAATAAAATTAATAAAGGAATAATCTTAACTACATATTGTAAAAATTGTAATAGCAAAATGTCAGATAAAGACACAGATGTACTGTTTCACAATTTAAAAAATTTTAGTCAATAAGAAATAAGGATTTGCTATAGAACACAGGGAATTATATTCAATATCCTATAATAAACTACAATGGAATATAATCTGAAACATATATATAACTGAGTCATTCTGTATATACCTGAAACCAACAAAATACTGGAAATCAACTATACTTCAATACAAAAAAATTTTTTAGTCCAGTAAACAGGAAGTGAAACACCGTTCTTGCTAATATGAGGCTTTCTATAAATTTGACTTCCCTGTATGTAAGCTGAGGCCCTGAAAAAGCAGAGATAAAGCCTTCACCTATACTTTAATAAAATAAATGAAAAATTAATTAATTAAAGAAAAACTTTACACAAGAGCTGCACTAACTTGGGCATATAAGATTGACAAATACTTAATTCAGGAAAGACACAGAAAAACTGAAAAGCACAGATAATTAGAATAAATACAATAATGAAAACATTCCAATTATGTTAAAGAATGGCTAAATAGTTTGTAATAAATTTAAGAGAATCTTCATCAAAAATAGTTAAGGTTTAAAAATAAATCAGGGCCCTTAGGTGAGCAAAATTCACTTCATGAAAATTGTCATTTAACTCTTGATTACTAGTTTAAGGATACTATAGAAATAAATTTCAATATTTAAAAAATATTTTATCATATTAAATTCTCACACCAGATTTTGCCACATGGAAGTATTTCCTTAGGACTGAAAGGAAAGACTGAATCAGTATGAGATTAAGGAATTATGCTGTCACGGTAACCCACACAATAGATTACTATGCAGCTGTTTAAAGGAATGATAATCTCTAAATGCTAAGAAGTGATCTCCAGACTATATCATTAAGAGAAAATTAATGCAAAACCATGTTTATAATACATACCTTTACAGTAAGAATAAAAAAGCAAGTATAAGAATATGATTATATTAAATATAAAATTAAAAATTATATAATTTTAAATGTATATCATTTAAAATATTACGTATTAAAATATAATAAAGTATACCCCTCCCCAGAAAGAACAATGAAAAGATAAAACTAAAAGACCCAGTATGTATTCCACACAATATTTTGGTTCCATCTACCTAGTGGGACATATACTAAGGGCAAAAAGATCCACAAAGAAAACAAATTATATTCAGTCATTAATATTGATATCTGCAATTTTGAAATTCTTATATGAGAAGAAAGTAAAAAGTTACTTTCTTTTTACCACTGTTACTATGGTTGGGAACCAAGATTTAAGAGTAATGTCACAAGTGTAAAATCAGAGTAGCTAAGTTAAAAAAAAAAAAAAAGAAAAAACCTTACATTTAAATTTGTATCATTAGTACAAATTCATGATTTTTTCTTTAAAAACAACATGTACTGCTTACCTCTGATCAATGAAAATGCCTAAAATGATGACAATCCAATAGTAATGAAAAGCTAGCAACTCAACCTGCTGTTTCTAAATACTATTTCCCATTAAAAAAAAAAGTTCCTTGCAGAAATGATTGGTTCCATATTTGGGAAAGGACATGCACAAAATGAGCCTGGAACATTTGGTGTCAGAAACCTAAGAAGTTATCAAAAACTAACAGGGACACTAATGGGTCAATATGAGCAATAAAATGAGTAATGACTGTAATACATTAAAATATATCAAATATATAAATAGCCCTTAGTTCATAATGACTCTTTTGCTACAGAGCATACTCTGAAAACTGACAAAGGGGAAAATAAATCATTAATCCCATCTTTCCTGATTTCAAGTAACAAAATAGTTAGAAAGTTTCTGGTAATAGAAGAATTATAGCTAATAAATGTAGAAGGGCAGTGATATAATTAGAAAAATCACCAATGTGAAGCATCTAACGAAACAGTAGATCTATACAAGGATCGTAAGTGGATGATAAAATCATGAGGCGATATATGAATGGGGAACTTATAATGGATGGATCAAGCTGAAAACAATTATACCCAACTCAGCATCACCAAAAGTAGGACATTATAGATGTTAAATGCCTCTTCATTTAACAAGAAATTTAAGCCCAACTATGAAATGTTCTTTGCAAAAATAATACAAACATAAATAAATCTGAATCTAATCAAACATCCAGTTACCAAGAAACATGGGAGATAGTATGACAATTAAATGAAACCATGAAGAAGCAATCAAATCTACAATGTAGTACATTCTACAGAACAAAGAACCTTTTTTTTCAACATAAAAATGGCATGGAAAAAGGAGAGAATACTTTGATTAAAAGAGATTTAAGAAACACAAAGACCAAGTGCTATGTGTGGATCCTATTTGGATACTGTGTGAATAAACCAATATTTATATACTTCTTATATAAATATATAGGAATATATTTATACAGTTATATAAGAATATATTTATACCAGGGAATTCACATTAAACCAGAGAAATGTGAATATGGACTGGGTTTTAGGGCATAGTAAAGAATTACTGTTAATTTTGTTAGTTACAAGTCCTTTTGTACATCAGAGATATATACTGGAGTACGTTTACAGATTTTAAAAAATGGTGGAATATTTGAAACAAAAGATTAACAAATGTTGATAACTGACTGACAAACACTTGGTGGGTTATTATACTATTTTCTCCCTACTTTTATGCTTGAAAATTTTCACACACATACATTAAAGCATAATAAAGTTGTAAGTAAAGAGCATAAAGGACTACATAATCAGAAATACTAAATTCAAAGCCACTATTTGCTATCTGCAATAGGTATGACTTTTGGAAAGTGACTCAAATTGATGCATTTTCTCATTAAAAATGTGAATGCCAGCTACATAGCAGATGTGAAGAATACCTTACTTCATCATCTATCTAGTACATGTAAAACCCTCAAACAAACATATGACAAATAGTAAGTACTTAACAAATATTCACTTCCATTCTTACCTCAATCAAAAATAATGAAGCCCCCCCCCCAAACCAAGAGGAATTACAGAGGGGACATTTTTACAACAGAACATTTGGAAATAGCAAGTAAAATATTATCACAGAAGCCAACACACAAAATTAACTTTGGTTAATTATTCTGGAAAAATAATCTCCTCAGGCATCTTTTTCAAGTATCTTCATAAAAACCATTTGTCAGATTACTAACAAAATATGGTAAAATAAACACCAGTAATTATCTCCACTCTCTCTTAAAATCCACTAGAGTTAACAGTAAAGAAAGTTATAAACCCACAAGAACAAAGAAACAGAAGCAAAGCTAACAAAATTTTGGAAGATAGTCCTTAATTGACTGGTAATGGACTGGGCAGAACAGAGAAAGCTGAAACTAAATGCCCACCAAAGGAAAAGGCAATCAGAAACAAAGACTAGGAATCAGGATAGCCTGCAGTAAAAGAGGAATGTGAAAAACTAGAAGGCAATGTAACAATGCCTTCAAAATCCCAAGTGAAAACAACTTTCAGCCTAGAAATCTGCAAATAGGTAAACTATCAATTAATTAGGCAAGGTCTCTGTAAAGCACAGGAAACTCTGCTCAATGTTATATGGCAGCCTGGATGGGAGGGAAATTTGGGGGAGAATGGATACATGTCTATGTATGGCTGAGTCCCTTTGCTGTCCACCTGAAACTATCACAACGTTGTTAATCAGCTACACATATTCCAATACAAAATAAAAAGTTTTAAAAAAGAAAAAAAGCCAAGCAGTGAGAAATTAAAAAACAAAAATTAGTCAAGTTCTCAAAAACATACTTCTCAGGCACCCTTTTGTAGGAAGCTATCAGGATATGGTACATAAAATAAGGAAGTGGAGAATAAAAAATCATGAATTCTAGGAAACAGTCTAACATATGAAAGAGCAGAGACTCTTCTAGGGCAACACTGTAAGTAAGCCACAGAGTGGTCAGCCTCAAATGCAGCAGAAAACGAAGTACAGATGGTATGCTGCCAAGAGATGGGGGAAAAAATTAACTGATAGATTACTTGGTTATACCAGGAGTTTAGTTCTTCTGGAGAGCATGGAGATGAATTATTGATAAGGATACAGAAAACTAAGCAAACAAAAAAGGACAATTATTAATTCCAGAAAAAAAATATATACAAAGTTGTAGGAGAAACAAGACGCAATCATCATTTACTACATGGACTGGTTGAGAATATTTATAGTTATAAGTACTGAATATTGTTTTAACCAAAATTATAACTATATTAGGAAGAGGGACATGGTATATATGCAGAAGTGCCAAATTCTCATTTTCCACAGTAAAAAGTTAGTAAAGTCTAAAACTGAGAGATCAAGAAACAGCTGTATAAGCAAGGGTATTTAATAATATGGAGGAAATTATTAAAGGAAGTGACCAAAAGAATTAAGAATAGTATTCTCTGCAGAATAAAATTTGGGGCAGAGCTACTCTTTTGGTTATAATTTTAGTGGTCTTATTGTTTTTTTAACTACCATTTGAAAACTAGTATTAAATTAAATTAAAAAGCAATTATCAAAGAGTGTGCTAAGAGTGGACATTTTGTCATTAAGGAGTACTAACTTGCAGATCTGTCTAATTTCATAACTACTAGAGGCCCACAGCAAGGAAGGATGCAAACAAACACCTTCTCCCACAAACATTTCTTATTTCTCTCCGCAGTCGCCAGCCTCCAAGATGGTACCAGCAATCATCACCTCTCAGCATTCATGCTCTCACAACCTACACTGAAAATCAGCTCTTTGTGTTATCAAGAGTAAGGCAGAGACGACAGAGGGTTTTTCTTTCTTTCTCGCACTGAAGTACAGTTGATTTACAATGCTGAATTAGTTTCTGGCGTACAGCAAAATGACTCAGATT